CCCCCCAGTCCAGACCCAGGAGACGGGGTAGGGGGACGGGTCAAGTTAGCCAGCTCGAACGAGCCAGAGGGCTCCGTCCACTCCCACCCGCCCCCCCACAACAGAAGAAGCAAGTGCGTCGCGTTCGACGTCTGTCGCTCATCTTATATCGTGGGCGGCTAGACGTTCTGCGCGCGCCATGAGCTGCGTCCTATTCCTGCCGCGTATTTGAGCAACGTCGACGAGAAACAAGACCGCGCGCGATGTACGCCGCGCCCCGCTCCGGCCTCTCATGTTGCATCGTCGGCGACAACATGTCCAGCGCGCGAAGTGCGCCGCGTCTCATTCCAGCCACGCGTGTTGCACCGCGCATGGAGGAGGGGGACATGGAGGAGGAGGAGGAGGGGATGGAGAGAGGGAGAGAGGGAGAAACTGAGGAGGAAGAGGATAATCCCTCTTTGGAATTCGCGGGGCGTCCTGGGAACTTTCTGGTATACGCCTTAGGGCCTCTTGGATATCTCTTCCGGGTTGGAACATTGTCAACACAAGTCGGTGCTAACCTCACAATTTTTCAAACACCAAATGAACATCAATGTTTGTGTTGCCCCCCAGGACCTCCTGGACGCCTCTTTTCGACGTCTTGGCGGTCTCTTGGGGCACTTGCTTGCACCGCACTTGTTTGAGGCTTTATGACTTGCCGCCCGCCCAGCTCCTCAACCCGACGGGCCGCAGCGTCGACGACAAAAAATCCATGTTGACGAGCAGGCGTCCCCGCGCGATGTGCGCCGCGTCCCATTCCCGCTGCGCGATTCGCAGCGCCGACGAGGAGAAACTACATGTTGGCAAGACAAACGTCGACGTTGCGGTGGTTTTTTACAGGTAGGACGGGGGGTCCCGCGTAGGGTTGGCCAGGCGTCCGCGCGCGATGTGCGCCGCGTCCCATTCGTGCTACACTTTTCGCAGCGTCGACGACAAGAACGTCCATGTTTACGACAAAAACATTGTTTTCATATGGTTTTGGATGGGTAGGACGCGACCACCCTCTTAGGGTTATCCAGGCGATGTTCATTCCGTCCCATTCCTGCTACACTGTTCGCAACTCGACGACATGTTGGCGAGAGACATATGGATTTTTTTCCCAGGCATCCTGTGGTGTTGGGTCCTCGTTTTGAAGAGACAGCGCCCCGCGTCCCACCTCCTCTCCTCCTCCTCCCCCTCCTCGCCCTCCTCCCTCCTCCCCCTCCTTGCCTCTGCTCTCGGCACACCCCTCACACGTTTCGTGGCCCCGTAGGGAGCTCCACCGAAGGTACAGTGGCACCGCGGCGCATCCAGCACATGCGGTTTGCCCCACCCAGGGCAGCGTTTTCGTTGCCCCATAGGGAGCTCCACCGAAGGCCCCAGTGGGGGTGTTCGCATGCGGTTCCCCCCCCCAGGGCAGCGTTTCGTGGCCCCATAGGGAGCTCCACCGAAGGCCCCAGTGGGGGTGTTCGCATGCGGTTCCCCCACCCAGGGAAGCGTTTCGTAGCCCCATAGGGAGCTCCACCGAAGGCCCCAGTGGGGGTGTTCGCATGCGGTTCCCCCACCCAGGGCAGCGTTTCGTGGCCCCATAGGGAGCTCCACCGAAGGTCACAGTGGCACAGCCCGCATGCGGTTCCCCCACCCAGGGCAGCGTTTCGTAGCCCCATAGGGAGCTCCACCGAAGGTCCCAGTGGCACAGCCCGCATGCGGTTCCCCCACCCAGGGCAGCGTTTCGTAGCCCCATAGGGAGCTCCTCCACCGAAAGGTCCCAGTGGCACAGCCCGCATGCGGTTCCCCCACCCAGGACAGCGTTTCGTAGCCCCATAGGGAGCTCCACCGAAGGTCCCAGTGGCATTGCCCGCATGCGGTTCCCCGGCCCAGGGCAGCGTTTCGTGGCCCCATAGGGGGCTCCACCTAAGGCCCCAGTCGCGCAGTTCGCATGCGCCCCCCCTTCCCCCCACCCAGGGCAGCGCTTCGTGGCCCCATAGGTAGCTCCCCCGAAGGTCAGTGGCGCAGTTCGCATGCGTCCAGGGCAGCGTTTCGTGGCCCCATAGGGAGCTCCACCGAAGGTCCCAGTGGCGCAGTTCGCATGCGTCCTCCCCACACCCAGTACAGCGTTTCGTGGCCCCATAGAGAGCTCCACCGAAGGTCCCAGTGGCGCAGTTCGCATGCGTCCCCCCCCCGCCCAGTACAGCGTTTCGTGGCCCCATATGGGGCTTCCCCGAATGCGATACCCACAACTGCATGTGGTTGGGTCCTTCGCCAGGCTAATTTTTGACAGTTGGGACGGCGGGGTTGCTATCGGCCGGCAAGTTTAATCATAGGAAATAACGATAAACCTATCCACGAGGGAGAATATTGCAGGTCGGAATGCTAAACGCGCTAAAACTTCTACGCCGTACATTCTCCGTTGCAACATTGACCACACGTTGGCGCTTCGCGCATCCCCACCAGCCCATCCAGAAAGGATGCCCAGGCGAGTTGCCTTGATCGGGGAAGTGTAGGGGCGCGCCGTGGAACAAGGAGGGGATCATACGTCAAACCGAAGCTCCGAAACAGCCTGATTTGATCCAGGGACCAGTCGTACCTGTGGTCTCGGATCTTTCGATGTGGAAGCCTCTTGATGATCTCTGGGGTTAATTTGGGCACTGTCTGGACCACTTTTTTGGGCTATTTTGGATGAGATCGACCACGCAAGCGGGCGGCAATAGTTAGCTTCGCTTTGCTGGATCCTGAGAGTCGCCTTTTGGAGCCCCTTGGGGCTGTCTTCGGTCGCTCTTGGCCGCTCGAGGGCCGTCCACGTCGACGTGTGATCCTCACACCCACTTCCCTTCGTGCCTGGGCGTTTTGGTGCCGCCGTCCGGGCGGCGGCGCCCATGTTTCAGTTTTTTTCCAGCAGCCGGAACTACCTGGTGCTGCTGTGCATGTGGTGTCAATGCTGCGGTGGCAGAGTGTCGCACTGCCAAATCATGTTGGGAGAGTGGCGCTTCGTCCATGGAGTCGTATGTACCGTTTCTCGGTCAAGGACGAGCGCCGCAGAAACCGCAACGCGCTAAGCATGAATTGCAGCGTACCGTCAATCACGTCTGCCGGCATACACGTGTTGATGCTTGCGTGGTCGATGCGAGATTTTTTCTGGAGTGCGTCGTTGCGGGTTGATGCGGGGCAGTGGGGATAATGTTTCAGCCGCGTGATGTTCACTCGCGCGCGTACGTTTGAAACGCCATTATATCATCCCCCATGTTTAGTCGCATAGCCTTGTATTTTGAGGGACAGATGTCTGAGGCACGAGTTCCTCGGCGCCTCGGTTTGGCTCTCAGGTTGCATTGCTTGGCCTTGGTGGTCGGTTGTGGCACTGGTGGCCCTCCTGCGACAGGGCCAGAGGGCGCTTATGGGACGGATTCCCTCGATCGCTGCGCTTCGCGGAGAATTTTATTCAAATGCTTTGCTCATTCCTCCAGCCCATATTGTATGCGGTGTGTATTAGCCTTTGGCCAGATTTGGTCGTGGACAAGAGACCTTGTTGGGAGCCTTGTTGGGGTCTATTGGGAAGCCGCTCGGGGGCCTCGTGGCGACATTTTAGGGCCTTTTTAGGGCCTTCTTGGGGCCTCTTGTGGCCCGTCGGGGGTGTCTTGGGGGCTTCTGGGGGTCTCTTGGGGTCCCCTTGGGGGCTTCGTTGGAAAGGGTTCCAAATGGCAGTTCGGATTCCCCTCTTGGGGCCCTCTTGGGGGCCTCGGGACCCCCCTGGGGGGTTTCTTGGGCCACATTGGGGCCCTCTGTGGCCATCCCAGCGCCCTCCTGGGGGCCTCTTGGGGCTGTCTTTGCGCGAGCTTTGGGCCCTCCTGGGCCGTCTTGAGGGGTCGGAAGCACGAAAGGCAATGATGCGAACATCCTTCCACTACCATCGTGAACTCGATGTTTTTTTGCCTCTTGGGGCCTTCGTCGGGGTTCTCTTGGGGCTCTCTTGAGGCGCTTCGGAGGCGCCTCGGACCATCCAGAGGTTATCCTGGGCATCGATCTGGCCCTGTGGCCGCCTGCGGGCTCTCTTGGAGCTCCTCGGGGGCGCCCCTGGGGCTCTCTGGGGGCCCCGAGGGCGGCGCCCAGCAGCACAACCGTCCCTGATGGGGCCTTGCTGGGACCTTGCCAGGATCTTGTCGGAACCTTGCTGGGGCCATGGCCGAGCCTCCCGCAGGGCTTCTGTTCGCCCAGGCACCGCCAGGGGCGGCCCCGCGCGTGCGAACGAAAACTATCTGATGATTACTTGCTACGGGAGGGCTAGCGGATTCTGCGGGCTTGGCCGTTGCCGGTCGGCATCCTCCGTGTTCCTTTCGGCTCTTCTGCCAGGGTGAGTCGCCCCTGCGCTGGCCGCCAGCGTTGGCTGGGCATTTTTCGGGGGTGGACAGAACCCCCAACAGTGACACGTCGATTAGCGAATTGTCCGTTTTCGGTTCTCGAGAGGGCGCCGCGGCCGTCATTTTCCAGGCTTGCGCCCGCCAGGTCTGGGCCTCAGGTCGTTTTCACGAAACCACGTTTTACTAAAGGGGGGTCTGTCCATCCCCGAATTCTGAACTCTTTCAGTCATGTCAGCGCTGGCTGGGCATGTTGAACTCTTTCAGACATGTCAGAAACGTCGTTTTTCAATCCTCTCATGAGTCTACACATTCCTCGTATGCGCCCCTTCATTTTGAAGGAGGAGGAGGAGGAGGCCGCCAGCGTTGGCTGGGCATGTTGAACTCTTTGCTATGATGGGACCACACTGGCCGATGTCTCCAGAGAGCTGCACGCGTCGGCGGCCGGCGGCGACGGGTCGGGCGTGCGGTCTCGGGCTGCCCCAGCTGGCCGCCAGGGGTGGGCATTTGCACGAGACAGCTGCACGAGCCGACGAAGTGGGCGTGGTGCATCCTCCTCCTCCTCCTCCTCTTCCCCATCTCCCCCATAGTTATTTTTGGCTCAAGGCTTTTCTCATTAGAGGCGCTCCGTGCACGATTCGTCCGCGAGCCAAGGAGGCGCCTGAGCTCTCATATTTGTTCCTGATGGCCTTGGCGGAGAGCACCGCAATGCTGTCCATGGATGAGGTGGCCAAGCATAACACGAAGGAGGACTGTTGGGTGGTGCTCTACGGCAAGGCCTACGACCTGGGGAAGTTCGCCAAGGTGCACCCTGGCGGCGCAAAGCTGATTTTCGACTGCGCCGGGAAGGACGCCACCGCCGTGTTCGACCCCATCCACCCCAAGGATTGGAGGGCGCCAACTATACACCTGCACCGCTCCTGGCCAGGATCGGGTGCAGGTGTATACCCAGATGCCCTGGCGTCTCGAAGAAGGTGAGACGGAGGTTTTTCATATTTTTCAGTGTCTCGGGGCCCTGAAAGGGCCTCGGGACTGTCAAACAACGACTGGGAACGAGAAACCTCCTCCTCCTCCTCCTCCTCCTCCTTGCTATGATCGTGGTTGATTTCCGCGCTCCTCCCACTGCTGGAGGCCAGGCGAAGTTCGTGGGTCGAGAGGTCGGGGGCCCGTGTCTCGAGAAAACCGAGACGCCGGATGTCTGGGCAGCTGGCGTCCTCCCTGAAGGACATCATGCAGAAGCTGCTGAAGCCCGCCCTCACCATGGGCGTCGTGGACCCGGCCACCATCAGGTCATCGAGGATCGAAGAATCCTTACTCTGGGTGGGTGTCTCAATAGGGGGGGGGGGGTCCCCCCCGACGGGGGTCAACCTCGCCTCGTCGTCGCGCCGCGACGGGGGTCGCAGCGCCTTCGGCGCGCGGTGGCTGCGCGCGACGAGGGTCAATGTCGGGCTGTCGGCGGGGGTGGCGCCCCCCCGACGCTCATCAAGAAACTCGATGTAACCCTGATGGCACAGTGAAGACGTGGCCTCACTTAGGTCCCCATCTGTGCATTAGAGATAGATATATCATGGCGCCGACGTCGCAGAGCGGACTTCGTTCGGAGAACGCTGGGATGGGCCTGGAGTGTCGTGGAGGATCTCGGTCCGGCTTTCGAAGCGAATTGCGTGCCTGGCTTCTTCTGGCCAGGAGTGAAGACTCAAAACATCCACGGGAAATCCACTTCGTTTTTCGCTCGCTGTCCTGGGGCTTTGCATCAAGGGACGTCCATGCGAAGATCCGATGGAGCACATCTGCAGGGCCGGTGCAGGGAGAGATAAAATGAGTCGGGGCGGTGTGGTTCGATGCATCTGCAGGAAGAGGTCCTGTCCCTAACGTCTGTAACCCTCCCAGCTTCGGTCCCCTCCCAAAGGGTGAGGGCTCCTCCTCCTCCTCCTTCTCCTCCTCCCCTTCCCCCCCCCTCCTCCTCCTCCTCCTCCTCCTCCTCCTCCTCCTCCTCCTCCTCCTTTATTTGGGGGCCACTCCTCAGGGACGAGCACAGGTTGCAGCCGCCGGGGAAGGCGGCCCCCGCCGCGAAGGAGGCGGCGCCGGCGGTGGCGGACGGCGAGGCTCGGAAGCTGGGCGAGGGCCGGCAAATCCGTCGCTGCTGAAACGATCTTCCCGGAAGGACGAAACAGATTCCCGGAAGAAAGCTCGGCGCGCTAAGTTAGGAAACGGGCTGCTTCCCAGAACGAACAAAAAAAAAAACAAGCTCCCGGAGCTCCGTTTTGGCAGCTGCGGGCTTGCCAGCCTCCGCCTGGCTTCTGAGAGGCTCAGGTCGTGGAGTTCGTGAAGCCGCCCCTCGCCGCGATGCTCAACACGTTCGACTTCGAGTCGGTGGCCCGGGAGGTCATGGAGCCGCAGGCCTGGGGCTACTACTCCAGCTCGGAGAAGAGCAAGCGCCATAAAAGCATGAGCCTGTGGCGCTCCGCGCGGAGCCGGGCGGCGCCTCGGGCGCCGCCCCTGGCGCCGCGCTCCGCGCGCCAGGGAGGGGGGCCCGGCGCAGATCCAAGAAATCCGTGCGGGGCGCCAAAAGCTCACTCTGGGTTTCTCAAAACACGTGGGGGGGTACCCCCCCGACCGGGGGTCCGCCTCGCCTCGTCGTCGCGACGCGACGGGGGTCGGACCGCCTTCGGCGCGCGGTGGCTGCCCGCGACGGGGGTCGATGTCGGGCTGTCGGCGGGGGTGACGCCCCCCCGACGCTCACTAAGAAACTCGGAGCCTGTTTATGCCGTGTTCTCTTCTTCTGCCAGCGGCGGTGACGACGAGATCACCCTCCGCGACAACCACATGGCCTTCCAGCGCGTCACGATGCGGCCGCGCATCCTCGTGAACGTCAGCGACATCGACATGGCCACGAGCTTCCTGGGCGTGCCCGCCGCACTGCCGCTCTACTTCACCGCCACCGCCCTCGCGAAGCTGGCCCACCAGGACGGCGAGGTGGCCATCGTCAGGGCCGCCCGGAAGGCGGGCGTCCCGTACATGCTGCCCACACTGAGCTCCTACACCCTGGACGAGATGCTGGCCGCGCGGGAGCCCGGCCAGGAGGTCTTCTCGCAGCTGTACGTGAACCCAGAGCGCTCCCGGACGCAGGAGTACGTGGAGAAGCTCGAGCAGCAGGGCGTCCGTGCCCTCTTCGTCACCGTGGACGCGCCGCAGCTCGGGCGGCGCGAGAAGGACATGCGCAACAAGTTCACCCAGCAGGGCTCCGACGTGCAGGGGGACGACGAGGACGAGGGCGAGGTGGACCGCTCGCAGGGCGCCACCCGGGCGATCAGCAGCTTCATCGACCCCAGCCTCAGCTGGGACGATGTGCCCTGGCTGCAGTCCATCACCAAGATGAAGGTCCTCCTCAAGGGCGTGCAGTGCGGCGAGGACGCCGTGCGGGCCTGCGGCGCCGGCCTCGCCGGGTGCGTGCTCTCCAACCACGGCGGCAGGCAGCTGGACACCTGCCGCTCCGGCATCGAGGTGCTGCCCGAGGTCATGGAGGCCCTGCAGGCGTCGCCATGGGAAGCAAGCGGGTCCCGAAGGAAACAGGCCCCCAGTCGTTTATTCGCCGTCTTCGGGCCCTCCTCGGGCCCTCCTCGGCCCTCGGGCGTGTCTCTCTCAGAGCGCCTCTCACCGAGCGCGCTCCACTACTCGCGAAGTGCCTACTCGGAAACGTCCGAAAACCGCGTGCTCGCCTCGATGTAGTGGATCGGAAGTCCCCGCGGCGGATCCGGGCCATTTGCGAGTAGTTACTCTGCGGGTGGCTGAGCGCGCCTATCTTACCTCAAGGAGGAAAGGCTGATCCTGGGGGAGGGATCCCCCCCTAGGTCCAGGGCCCGCTTCGGTCAGGACCCGCTTGCTTCATGCCACAGGCGGCGGGCTACAAGAAGGACGACTTCACCGTCTTCATCGACGGCGGCATCCGGCGGGGCGCGGACATCTTCAAGGCCGTGGCCCTCGGCGCGGCCGCCTGCGGCGTCGGCCGCCCCGTGCTGTACTCGCTCGCCTCCTACGGCGAGAAGGGCATCGTGCGCATGGTGCACATGCTGCAGGACGAGCTGCAGATGGTGATGCGCCTCAGCGGCACCGCGAGCATCGCGAGCATCACGCCCGGCCACGTCATCACCAGGAACCTGGCCGACCACATCGTGCCGCTGCCGCAGGACCACCTGGTGCAGGGCACGTACATGCCGCTGATGCCGGCGGCCCGGCTGTGAGAGCGCGGCCCGCCCGGCGTGCGGGCCAGTGCGCCGGCTTCCGACGACTGTCGGGAGGGCGGGCGAGGCCGATCGGCCGTTTCTTTATTTTTTTTCCGCGCGCCATTCTTCCGCGCTGCCATAGAAAAAGGGCGAGAAGAAGAAGAAGATGAAAAAGAAGAAGAAGAAGAAGAAGAACAAAAAAGAAGAAGAAGAAGTTGGGGAGGGGAGACTCAATATGTGCCCTCCGCCGCGAATTCGACTCAGCCGTTCTGGCTCCGCGCGGCGTAGCTAAGCCAAGCTGCGCCCCAGCAGTTTTCCCTGCACGTCTGGCGCGGGCTGATACTCTGGTCTATTCGGCAGCCAAAAGTTTGGCACGATGGCATTCTTGGGTGGTCTAATGCGAATGGAGAGGCAGGTGTCTGGGGCATGAGCTCTTCGGCCTTGTCTCGCCCTCTTCGCTCTCAGGATGCATTTTCTGGCTCTGACGGTCTTCTTTGGCATCGGTTGCTCTTCTGCGCAATTGCCTGCTGGCGCTTTGGGGACTGGTTCCTTCGAGCGCTGCGCTGTGCAGGGAGTTTTCCGTTGCCACTTTAGCCTTTGCCAGTCAGCATCTCTCATATTTGGCGCGGCGCTTCTGTCGACGGCAGAACGCGACGAGGCGGACGTACGCCAGCCGCTGCTGCACGCGCCAGCTGCACGAGCCGA